CCATACCCTGACACCCGCACAGTTTAGGTTCAAACTGATCGCCTTCGTTGTAGTTTATTAGTTTTCGAGCAAGTCGTCGTGCTGGGACCAGGGACCCCATACCCTGACACCCGCACTCTGCCTGTCGAAACAAATTGTGCTTTTTAAAGTGGTATAGCCCTTTTATTAGATTCGATAGACCCTCAGGAGTGGCGGTGATGAGGCGTTGAAGACAGAACTGAGTGTTCTATGGTCTAAGAATAACGACCTGTGCCATCTCCTGACAAGGGTTAAATTCGCCGATGCTGACCCGGGTTTTAGGATTTTGTTGGTAAAACGGTTGACCCCCCCTGGAAAGTACCTGGCTACTGAACTATTTTGGGCATTCGAGTTCAATTTTTGGCATCCACCCTAAAACACCGGTTACACAATCATCATCAGACCCAATCAATAGGCTTATAACCCATATAAAGTTAAGTTCAAGCCAAGTTAAGTTCTGAAATGTAGGCTTATAACGCGGATTAAGTCCCATTTATTTATATAATATTTAATTAATTGGATTGATTAAAGTTTACCGAATCCAAGAGCGGGCATAACCGCTAACGGTAGTATTAATAAATTTATAGACCATAAATGACTATAAATTAACTTATAGACCATTAATATATAAACTGTTAAATTAATGGACTAAAATATGTTTTTTTTTTATTTACACACATTTTAATGGCTGCATTAAAGTGAATTAGAACTCAGGTAAAGCCATGAAAAATGGGTATTTACCTGCAGTTATTACCACGTTCACTGCGGTATACATCTATAAATTAGCATTCTACCCTCTAAAACACAAAATTTTTTTTAACTTACCAGTTAACAGTGGCGTAACAGAAGGGCCCGCAATGCGGGGGCCCAAGGACCGAGGGGCCCACGAAACAGCTAGCGGAAACCCGCGAGAAGGGAGGCCCGTGGGACGAGTGGGGCTGAAAAATTGGAGTTCATTCTTATTGAAATGTATTATCAATCATTTAATAATTTTATCAAACAAGTAAAAACATTAATGTTATACATATTATGTTGTCCTCGTTTAATTTTGTTAGGCCTATTCAGTGATAAGGAACTAAAGTAACAAATATAACGTTTTATAACATGGGTCATTGATTATTATGCAATCTTACTTTTGTCACATAGAAGTATTTTGACTTCTCTGTGCTTGCGTACACTGCTTATGTCTGTCAACAATTTTAGTTTTACCATAATATTAATTGTATTTAGGTAATAGTATATTTCATACCTAGGGCAACAAATGAGGTTTTGCATACTCGAGATAGTTTTTAAGTTCGAGATGAAGTTGAGAACTTAAAACGATCGAGAGCTGCAAAACCATTTCGGTCCGTGGTACGACTATTTTTCACCACACTATATCCTATTACCACTATTCACTACAATACTAAAGCACACTGATAGTCAACACAACACAACTATACAACTTTAAGGTTATGAAAAGAAATAACTTGAGGAATCAGCAAAAATAATAATAAATAGTTGCTAGGCATCGGTGACAATAAAACAATTCTATTGCAATACTATGGATACTGATTGTGTATTTAATATGCATTCATGTTTTAAGAAAGTAAGCGGGCAGCTGATTTTGCAGCCCTAGGGATGTAAAAACCTGCTCGGTCCCCAAATGACGGTGACAGTTGGCATGGCCAGCAATAATACGTAACTTTCAGCCACCAATTTATTAACGTATATGTAAAACAGCTAAAAACATCATAGTGTGGTGAAAAATACAATTATTGCTACTCTACTGGCTTTGTTTGTTAGACTATATCTTATTTTACCTCACAATTAATCAATACTAAAGACATGTTTGTAAGGTCAACGCAAGATATGCATACAAAAGACCAAAATCTTAGCCTTTTGTAAAAGTACATCAATCTTCTAAATTAACCAACTTTGAGTGTATATGAAATAGCCTAATTAAAACCACCGATAAAAACTACCCGAATAAATAATTGATATCATGTGTAATAAATTAAATATAACACCTCCTTGATACGAAACATTCTGATACGGATGAAAAATAAGGTATTTTTATTTTATTTCAAAACTATTCACAAATACTGATATTGATAATTATGTAGGCCTAACTTTATCATCAAACCATGACTGAAATACTTAACACGCCTTTTTATGGATCATAACCCATAATACCCAGAAGATGTAAAAGGTGGAAATAAATCATTTTGTTAGCCTCTGCACGGTCTGAGAAAATGGACCTCTTGTCGCTCAATGTTATTTCGCCATAACGACAAGAGGTCCCATTTCTAATATTCACTTTGTAAACAGACTTTAGTCCAAAAAATGAATTGTCCTGCATTCTTGTGGAAATTTAGAGAACTACAACAAATTCAGTTTACAGAGAACCAAAAATTTCTAACAAATTTTGCGGTCCTGACAAGAGATACCTTTTCTTATCTTATGGAGAAATAACATAGGGCCGACAAGAGGTCCCTTTTTGAAGTGTGATTTTTACGACATGCTTTGATAAAACATTTATTTAAATGAAAACTATAGTGAATTAAGAACAAAATTGGCATTGCCTCCAAAGAGGACATTATAAACTTTCTTTTGATATTAAAATTGTTTCTTAATTACAAAAAAAAAAATGTTTTTATGCCTATTTAAAACTTTCAAAATAGTTGTTCTCAAAATGACACTTTTCCATAACAAAATTTCAAAGTCCTATGACTTTAACAAAAAAATTGTAGATGCATGGGACTTGTGCCAAGTAATTCAGAATTAAATAATAAGGAAATCAAATATATATATAACTCAAAATCGGAAATTCCCGACAAGAGGTCCCTATTCGCTTTCCACATCACATATGTCTATGTCTATGTCTACACTGTCCAAAAAGCACTGACTCAGTAAGATACAAAAATTACCGATCCGATCAAACGAAATGCACCAATATGAAGTACGAAACTGTACGACAATATCAACGTTCCCCGCCTAATGCTGGGCTCACACCGTGGCAATGTGTTAGTCAGGGGAGTGCAGTGGGCCCAATAGATGGAGTATGTTGGCCGCGACGTGAAGCGAGGATTTTTCACCAATCTACAACAAGATGGCGGTAGCCGGCTGTGGTGAGCCCTAGTAGCGATTACAACTAATTAAATGTTAGTTGATATCAATAATATCCGTGACAATACACCTTTATATTATAAATATTTCTATTACGAACACAATGACCTTTAAAATACGCTTTAATTTTTTTTCTGGCGTTTACCATTTCATAGAAAAATTTTGTTTACATAATTAACAACAAAAACTTTTTGGGCGTAACAAAAATTCTGAAAACCTATAAATTAATTGAAAGTTTTATAAAGTTCTGACGTTTGGTTTACAATGTACAAATTTTCAAAATCACATGATATTTTTTGAAACTTTTAAAACAACGCTCTTTTATATTCTGATTGTAATAAAAGAGCTAAAAAATATTAATTTTTAGACAAATACAAAGAATAAAACGATGAACATTTAAATGTACTGTACTTAAATTGTACTTAATTTATGTACTTAAATGTATTTAAATTGTGATTCTAGTAGGCCTGCCCGACGCGACGCGCCGCGACTATGGTATAACCAAAACTACAACGAAATTATAGAAGCTATATACAAATTTTTAAAAATATGATACAGAAAATATAACTCTTTAGCTACAAAATCCACCTTTTTTTAACTTACCTGACCAAAAAACATGAAAAAGTAGTAGCCGACAAACTATTTCATGTCATATTTCAAAACTCTTTTAAAAGTATCAACTTTATTTGAATATTTAAAATAGAAAATATTAACTCTTAAGCTTTTAATCTATATAAATAAAATTAGAGTTTTGTCTGTACATTGCTTAGAATAATGAACTTTTTGGTTATTTTTACATTTCATAGGTCAGAGAAACCGAATCAAACCTTATCTCAATTTCTGTCTGTCTGTCTGTCTGTCTGTCTGTCTGTCTATCTGTCATTCTCTTGGTAACGCTAAAATACGCACTTTATTACAACTACTCCTCAATAACTATAGCACTGTCCCGCCTGAAACTTATTTTCCAAATACTATACATATATGAGATGGTTTTAGACGTATTTCATCGAATATGAGACAGTTAGATATTTAACAGTAAACCCTTGAAAATCAAGTTTTTGTCGATTTTTGACGTGGAATTTCTGGAAGCCCATGTTAACCTTATGAGAAATGAAATTATTGAATCTTAACAGCTGTTTCAATTAAACAAGTTGGTTCTGTTCTGTGATGTTCAATAGCATTAAAGTTACAAGGATTACCAACAGGGTGCAGCACTAGCACTATTATTTCTTTTACATTTATGACAACAGCTAATTTGCAACCTGGAGGCGAGTGAGCGTAGCGAACGAGCTAACCTGAAGGCAAGTGAGCGTAGCGAACGAGCTAACCTGAAGGAAAGTGAGCGCAGCGAACGAGCTCCAACATACAGGTGAGTGAGCGTAGCGAACGAACTTCAACCAGGACGTGATTGAGCCATGCAAACGAGATCAGATAGTAAAAATAAAAGTAAGCCTACCGTTATAGGATCGACCGGCAGACACAGAGGTAATTTAACCTTTTATTGATTGTCATACCGATCCGGAACAACAAAAAACAACATAAAATGAAGCTATGTATAATAGTTTGGCCAGCATATCTTAAAATATGCAAACCAACTGCTGTTCGTTATATAAGAAGGTTTCAACTGAATATTATAAGATCCCCGTGCGTAGAACGGGTACACAGCTAGTTAAAACTAATTGTGCCCTAGTCTTATTGAATTCACTCATACAAAGTTTCAACTATATAACTTTAGTCTAAATAGGCTAAATGTTGAGTTATTTTGAAGCGGAACATTGAGTTTTGGTGCCGTTTTCATCGACATCTAGCATGTCTTGGAATGTATTGGTACTTTATTTTTTCACTAATAACTTGTAGTATTTCTTTCATTCTAGAGGGATGGATGCATTTGGAAGAGTTTGGGATTTAAGAACAGGTCGTTGCATCATGTTCATGGAAGGCCACCTCAAGTCCATCTATGGCATAGATTTTTCACCTGATGGGTAAGTTATTTCAGGGAGTAAGTAGATATTAATTAAGTATAGATTAAGTAGACATAATCATTTACAGTGTAAGGATTTGTGGTGGATAGGTTTAACAGCAGCGTTACTATCTAAAATAGATGATAATACACAAAGAACACATAGTACTTTCTGAGATGCTAACTCCTTCAATAGTCTTTTAACTTTTTTCTTGTAGGTTGTTCAAAGACAACTTACCGTACTGCTGTAGGAGATAAAAAACCTAGCCTAAAGCAAACAAATGTAATTTACAGTTTTAACCTAACCTGGCTGTTTAAGGTACCGGTATTGTTATTTTCTTTTATTAATTAATTCAACCTGAAATATGTTACGTTGTTGAACTGTTTACACTTTTTTTAATACAAAATTTACCTTTACCTATTATTATAAGACACAAAAGATATTTTTTTATGTGAAAGATAACTAAACAAATTTGCTCTACTTCTCTCCCTAATTTTTTTTTAGAAGAGAATAATTTGTAGCAGTGTACAGAGATAACATATTTTTCACAATCTTAATTGGTCTAATTTTAGTTGTGTTTATTCTTGCAGATATCACATTGCCACTGGAAGTGAAGACAATACATGTAGAGTCTGGGACTTGCGTAAACGAGCTTGTATCTACACAATCCCAGCACATATGAACTTATTGAGTCATGTCAAGTACCAACGAACTGGAGGTCACTTCTTAATCACCTCTTCCTATGACAACACTGCAAAGGTAGGCCTAAATTCAGGTGTATACCAACCGGGGAAAAACCTTGAATTTGAAAGGACCTGGAAAAAAACGGGAAATAACTCGGATTTTTGGCGTCGTTCCGGGAATTGTGGAAGACTATGATAACGCATCTGTGACCGCTGGAGACGAAGATAAAATTTTCCTGACCGCTGGAGAGGGACGATAATGTTTTCATGACCACAGGAGGTGACGATAACATTTTCATGACTGTGGGAGATGATGATAAACTTTCTGAGACCACTGGAGACGACGATGTTTCCGTAACCACGAGAGATGACGATAACATTTTCGTGACTGCTGGAGACAACGATAACATTTCCGTGACAGTGGGAGCCGACGATAATGTCTACAAACCGTGGGAAGTATTCAGGATTATGCCGTGTTGGGGGATTAGGATGATAACGTTTCCGTGACCGTGGGAGACGATGTTTTCTTATGTGTGTGCTTATGTGATAAAGATTATAATAAAAATTAAAAATGATCACGATATTGAGGATTATTATTTTTGCAACACTTTAAACAATTAGAAATATCCAAATGTGATATGAGAACAAACTTAAGACGTAGGCCTTGAACTGGTTATAGTTTATAACTAAATATGCCTTTATAACTAAATATACCTTTATAACTAAAGACTTTCAAAATCCAGGAGAAAACCTGGAATTTCACCTTAAAAAATCTGTATACACCCTGAAATAAGATCTATATATATAACTACCTGTAACCCGCGGGCTTTGCCCCGTTTAACTTCTTAATTTTCAAGATGATCTCGTTCGCATGACGTCCTGGTTGAAGTTCGTTCGCTACGCTCACTCACCTTTAGGTTGGAGCTCGTTCGCTGCGCTCACTTGCCTTCAGGTTAGCTCGTTCGCGACGCTCACTTGCCTTCAGGTTAGCTCGTTCACTACGCTAACTCGCCTCCAGGTTGAATTTCGTTCGCTATGCTCACTCACTTTTTGGTTGCAAATTAGCTGTTGTCATAAATGTAAAAGAAATAATAGTGCTGCACCCTGTTGGTAATCCTTGTAACTTTAATGCTATTGAACATCATAGAACAGAACCAACTTGTTTAATTGAAACAGCTGTTAAGATTCATTAATTCCATTTCTCATAAGGTTAACATGGGAACTCCAGAGCCACTGGGGCGGAGCCGATTGGACGGATCACGAAATTGATGGTGTATAAACCTATTCCATGAAATTCTACACGTATGTACCAAGTTTCGTGGCAATCGGTTCAGCGGTGTCTGAGTTTATCACTGCCAAATATATATATATATATACAAACATCCTCTTTTATACTTATAGAAGATACGTGAAGCCGTTTTTTGTTAACGCAACTCCTCCCTTATTTGTGGACCAATTTTGACGTTTAAGGTGTCAAAAGATTTGTCTCAATATGTAGTTTTGCAATAAGGTTTTAGAAATTTTGAAATACTCACACTTAAGGGCGCGAGACCCTCTCAAAGGTCGAGTTTTCTCCATAAGAAATACATAGAACAAATTTAAAAACAAAAAACAACTGTTAAATAAAAAGAAACTCATTAGCTTTTTGGGAGTAAATATTAATGTTTATAATATTGAGTAGGTTAAGACCAAGTTAGTTTTAAACAGTTAATCAGTTTTGTAGGAAGAGCAGAAAATGCCTCAAGTTCAAAGAAGAAATATTGAACACGGGACTAGGAGACAATTAATAATAAGATATCTTATGCGTATGAGGAGAGTAGAAATAGAGAGGCCTGGTCGAACAGACACCCATCCACATACACATTCACTTAATGAGATGAATAATATTTGCAAGTTCTGCTATGCATCGATGGTTCTGCTATGCATCTTACTTTGGAAGTGAAAAAATATACGAAGCACATAATGTTGTCACGGTGGTAAAGTAAACTCGCCTAATGTCAGATCAAATGAATGCATGCAAGAAATGTTTACTTCTGACACTGACAGATCGAGATATTTCAAAACATTTAGTAGAAACTATAATAATGCCTTGACTATGATAAGTTCAAGTAGTAAGATTATACCAAATCTTGGCGGACCTTTTGTTTTTATTGTAAATTTTGTATTACTTGCTCTACTTCAATATAGAAAAAAAACTCAAATGGATTGTTTACTTCTAGGTTATGTTGCCAGTTCCTCGGAAAAACTTATACAAGGTTTTTTGACTGAATTTACCAACACAACTTAGACATTTCGAGTAAAAAATAAGAAGTTTCAACAACTCATTTACTATTGAAAGTTTTAGTGGCAATATAAGACGAAACATAAGTGAAGGAATTAGTGTTTATGTATTCAACGATTGAGAAGGGTCGGTCAATTTTATTTGAATGATTTAGGAGAGGTGAGCTCAATAATATACACTGTTCAAAAAGAGAATATGAAAATTGCTATCCAAATCGTATAGCTACAAGAGTTATCCAACCTATTTCGACAAATGAATCCATACTTTGGGACGGGTATTTAGAGAAACTCCACTGAACAACGTGAGACTGACAGACAACACATAAAATATGCTAACCAACTTTCAATGGTGTTGCTGCCTTAGCCCATTCAAAGCAGATTATGGCAGTCCAGTTGGCACCCAGAGTTTGTGGGTAAAAAATGGAACACATGAAATGGTTGATATCACATCACTTTAGGATTCTCTACGGAGAAAATTTGTTTGTTTAGAGGGATGTCTCAAATCAAATAAATAAAATGACCCAACTTAAATTACAAAACACAAGCAACAGTTTTCTTCAATTCTCAATGCTGTAAAAACTTTGTTGCAACATGTTAACTCGAATTGGATCAGATCGTTTAGCATTCATTAGAAGTTATCAATTAAAACTGAGAGCAGAAATAATGTAGGTGAACCTTGACGACGCAAACAGAGATATTTAAAATTAGTTTCTAACAAGTGTTTAAACAACTCTAAGATGTAGCTACAATTACTCAAATTTAAGCACAAAGTTTTCCTCGGCGTTATGTGTCCTCTAGTATGTTCTCTAGTATGGGTTCTCTAGTATGTTATAAATAGTGTTTGTTGATGAACCTTTAAAAATTCTGTACATTTTAATTGAGCCAATTAAACGTTTGGCTTACCATTCAGAAGTATTGTAGCATTTTTGAGTAATTAACCTTAGACGTTATACAGTATAGCTAATCTATCTCATCCAATATGCATTTTGCTAAAATTAAACATCTACTAGATATACAGTACAGTGGTCAGTTTGTAAATTTTTCATCTGATAGGTCTGGATTTTAAAACTTGGCCATAAATTTTAATAGAACACTTGACCCACAACATAAAGTTTTAAGTTGGCCTAAATCATAGCATAAGAAGAAACTGTTTGTAATTTTTGTAACAACATAATGTTTTACTGTTTTGGTATACCTTAGGAATGAATACTCTTTAATTGTAATCAATTAGTTCTGTGGACTGAATGTAAGTGATAAATAAACTGTTTCTATTTTTCCAGGTATGGTCAGACAAAACATGGCAATCACTGAAAACTCTTCAAGGACATGATGGAAAGGTCATGTGTCTCGATATTACACCGGACTCCAAATATATCGTGACTTGTTCCTATGACCGCACATTTAAGCTATGGGCACCTGAGTAGTCCCAGCCGTTTGAATTATTTAACATTGTAAATAGTAAATGATTTTTTTATATACAGTAATGGTGAGTTATTATTGCCCAAGTACTGCATATTTTACGCATACAGAAAAATATTCCATCAGTTGGGTATATTTAAATGAATAAAAGATTGATGTTATAGGATTTAACAGTGTCATCACAAATTTTATTTTCTCCTCCTACTGATGGGACAGGGTTTACAAGTACAGTGAGACACTGTTTAACAAAAAACAAGCTCATTATGTTGTTCAAAGGTTTATTGCGGACATTTTCCATCACGAATGTAAAAAACAATACACAACGTTTCGGTATCTGGAATCTGATCCCGTCTTCAGGTGGAAAAAATTTAACTAACACATTACAACTAACAATACACAAACGCCCAACCTAAGTTGGAATACACTACAGAGGGTAGTAGTCAAAAAATATGCACTGTATAGCAGTCAAGTCATGATACAACATGCAATTAATAACAAATCACAAAACACTATAATCTATAAAAGGTTTACGTAAAAAACTCACACAATGGAATACTAAAAGCACCGTACGCAATGTACGAAACGTTGTGTATTGTTTTTTACATTCGTGATGGAAAATGTCCGCAATAAACCTTTGAACAACATTAACTCACCAACAATGAACTTCAAACAAAGAAGCTCATTATGTTGGTATCCTAGTTTTCTTTACTTTATTGTGAATCACCCAATATGCATTGTTGCATAGTTAACTACAAGATTTAGTGTTATTGGGAATTTATTTTAAATTAGATAACCCGTTGCTCCAAATCGAGCAAATTTGCATCTTGTAATAAAAGAATAAAGAACAAAATCATAAACAGCAAGACCTCAATCAAAGAATCACTCCAAAGTACTTTCTATGACTGGTTCTAAGTTTGGTATCATTTTACAGGTCTTGACGAAACATAACAGTTAACATAAAGAAAATAGAAATCGGAGCATAATAACAAAATGGCAGTTCAAAATTACTTTTAATTAACATTGTCTTCATCATTTTTAGCTGCCATTTTGTTATTAGTGTTCCGATTTCTATTTTCTTTATGTTAATTGTTATGTTTTGTCAAGACCTGTAAAATGATACCAAACTCGACTATAGCCTACTTGCTATTTGAAAATTTTGAGCTACCCACTACGCCTAAGGGCAAAATTTTCGAAACTGACCATAATTATTGTAGCCCTTCATATCCAAACAAGTTGCTGCAAACCGATTTTGAATATCTCAAATAGTTAAAAAGTTAAAGGGGGTGCATGTTAATTTTCAGCCACCCTCATGGTTATTTGGATTTGAAACGTTTTAGAGCGCCGTTTTGTTATTAGTGGGCCGATTTTGGTTTTCTTTATGTCATTTTTTATGTTTTGTCAAGACCTGTAAAATGATACCAAACTTGACTATACTTGTCATTTGAAAATTTTGATCTACCCCCTATCCCCACTACCCAAGGGCAAAGTTTTCAAAATTTACCATAGTTAGTGTATCCCCTCATATCTAAGAAGGTTGCCGCAAACAGATATCAAATATCTCAAATGGTTGAAAAGTTGAGGGGGGTGTAAGTTACTTTTCAGCCACCCTTTATATTTCTTCATTGCCTTATTCTATTATTGCGAAGTATCACAGAGGTTATTTTAAAACCAATAACAGTGATGACCTTAATAGAGTCGACTCAAAGATTATGTAAATACTCACGATGTACATAACAGGTTGATATAATCAACATTTGTTGTAAATACTAAATACCTTATCATTTTCAAAAGCAGATATTGTTTAGTATTTTCTACAAATGTTCCCCACTTATAGCCGCATTATATTGTCCATAATATCGATCATAATAAAAATAAACGGTATCAGCATTCTGGCACATACTTTCTCCCATAAGTTTGTCAACAACCTTTATCATGTGTAAGCGGTGAGAGTAAATATACGGAAATGGGATTTGTACAATTTTGTTCAGAATTTAAAGGACTTTAACATACTAAATTTGTATCAAAATCTATCGGGCCATTTTTTAGAAAATCCATTTTTTCTGTTATTTTATGGGGTTTTATGAAAAAATCCCCATAAAACTAAATTTCTAAAAAATGAAAAAACTCAAAATTGTAAGGACTATAACATACTATGTTAAATAAAAACCGGGTTTTTTTCTAAAATCCTACTTTTTGTTATTTTATGGGTTTTTTATGGGAAAATAATATAATTTACAATAACTTTTGAACCGTAATTTTTATAGAAATAGGATTTGTACCATTTTGTTCAGAATATAAAGGACTATAACATACTAAATTTTGGGTGAGGTTCATTTGTCCGAGTTTTCAACTGTCCGAGTTTGTTAAAAATTACAAAATATTTGAAAAATCAGTTGTCCGAGTTTTCATTTGTCCGAGTTTTGATAAATAACTAATAATAATTAGATAAATCAACTGTCAGAGTTTATTAAATTATTTAAAAAAATATCGAAATATCAAGTGTCCGAGTTTTCAACTGTCCGAGTATGGTTTAAATAATAATAATATTTGGTTAAATCAACTGTCCGAGTTTTCATTTGTCCGAGTTTTTAAATTATTTAAAAAAATATCGAAATATCAACTGTCCGAGTTTTCAACTGTCCGAGTAGAGTCAACATCAAATGTGACACTGCGCGCCGAGACTAGCGTGTCTAAGGCGCCTGGTCAGAAGCCGATGTAAACCTCTTCTGCGAAGGAGTCGGGCATTGTGCAAGCCGCGAGAGCCCCTCAAAATTTTTGAGAAATTTTGATTTTTCCGGGTTTTTATGGAAAAATACCCATTAAAAATCAAAATTTCAAAAAATGAAAAAAAAAACGCCTGGAGATACTATGGATTAGAACCTAAATAACAAATTTCGTTGAAATCGGACCACAGGTGTAGTCCCTAGCTCTGTACCTACACATCCAGACATCACTTCGAAAACCACTTGTTTGGGTCCAAGGGGACCCAAAACGAATATATCCACTCAAACTCGAAAATTTTGACGAAAACAATACTTTCTCCATATACTATGGTATAGGGGGAGAAAGTAAAAACACACTACTGTATTACCATTTCTTTTATTAATTTGTGGGACTATGACTTTTTTCATGTTTCCATAGGTTGCAAATTGGCTATTTCAATGATTGCTCAAGAAATGCAGCACAGTGTTAATTCAGATGACTTTTTAGTATATCAAATTGACCAGGCTTTCTTGCTTTTTTTTCATTTTACGCCAACCCAAATTCTAATGAAAAGTATTTTACTTCAACCAATTCAGTAAATGTTTGTAGCACACATTTCCTCAAATTACAACTATTAAAATATTTATAGCGATTAAATTATTCAGTATATCATATTGTAAACAAATATGTAGGGATGGACGGGTCCCGAAATTTCGGGAATTTTTCGGGACGGGATTTGGTCCGATCGACGGCGATTTTTCGCTTCGCGAGTTCCGATAACGCCGTTATTGCGAGCGATAGGTCCGCGAACGCAGGAGACGAAGTCATTTCGACGATTACGCCGTGACCGCGGAGTCATAACGACGATCGGGCTGTGACCGCGAGTCATACCGACGATAACCCCGTGACCGCGGAGTCATACCGACGATCGCGTCGTGACTGCGAGTCATATCGACGATCATGCCTTGACCGCAAGTCATACCGACGATAACCCCGTGACCGCGGAGTCATACCGACGATCGCGCCGTGACCGCGGAGTCATGCTGGCGATCGAGCCGTGATCGCGATTCATGACGACGATCGTGCCGTGACCGCGGAGTCATGCTGACGATCGAGACGTGATTGCGAGTCATACCGACGATAATGCCGTGACCGCGAGTCATACCAACGATAACCCCGTGACCGCGGAGTCATACCGACGATCGCGCCGTGACCGCGAGTCATACCGACGATCATGCCGTGACCGCAAGTCATACCGACGATAACCCCGTGACCGCGGAGTCATACCGACGATCGCGTCGTGACTGCGAGTCATATCGACGATCATGCCTTGACCGCAAGTCATACCGACGATAACCCCGTGACCGCGGAGTCATACCGACGATCGCGCCGTGACCGCGGAGTCATGCTGGCGATCGAGCCGTGATCGCGATTCATGACGACGATCGTGCCGTGACCGCGGAGTCATGCTGACGATCGAGCCGTGATCGCGAGTCATACCGACGAAAATGCCGTGACCGCGATTCATACCAACGATAACCCCGTGACCGCGGAGTCATACCGACGATCGAGCCGTGATCGCGATTCATGACGACGATCGTGCCGTGACCGCGGAGTCATGCTGACGATCGAGCCGTGATCGCGAGTCATACCGACGAAAATGCCGTGACCGCGATTCATACCAACGATAACCCCGTGACCGCGGAGTCATACCGACGATCGAGCCGTGATCGCGATTCATGACGACGATCGTGCCGTGACCGCGGAGTCATGCTGACGATCGAGCCGTGATCGCGAGTCATACCGACGAAAATGCCGTGACCGCGAGTCATACCAACGATAACCCCGTGACCGCGGAGTCATACCGACGATCGCGCCGTGACCGCGAGTCATGACGACGATCGCGCCGTGACCGCGGAGTCATGATGACGATCGAGCCGTGATCGTGAGTCATGCCGACGATAATGCCGTGACCGCGAGTCATACCTACGATAACCCCGTGACCGCGGAGTCATACCGACGATCGCGCCGTGACTGCGAGTCATACCAACGATCGCGCCGTGACCGCGAGTCATGACGACGATCGCGCCGTGACCGCTAGTCATGACGACGATCGCGCCGTGACCGTGAGTCATACAGACGATTACCCCGTGACCCGCGAGTCACAAGTTTCTATAGGTACATGTAAATTGTTACCCATTTTTTTGTTTTTATAGATCAGTGCCACAAATGGTAAAAATTGATTTTGTATGTCTTTTTTGGTAACTACAATACAGTACTTTCTTTTTATGTACAGAAAAAAATCCCGTCCCGTCCCGTCCCGAAAATCGGGAAGGAAATAAAAATCCCGTCCCGA